TTCAAACTGATATCAGTGAGAGTTTTCAAACAATTCGCATCTGGGTTAAAAACTTTTTAAAAACATGTTGTTCGAAGACATATGAATCAACTATATTACTGACCGATTACATTCGTGGGTTACGTGGGTTTCTACCTTGTTTTGATACTTGGTGAAAAGCAGGCTGCCAGAACCGTGAATTAATATAGGCCTAAAATCTAAAACTGACCAAAACAACGACAAAAGCTCCGTCGGATCAAGAAGACCTCTCCGAGCCGTTCGATACCAAACGAGGTTGCAGACAAGGCGACTCCCTATCGTGAGACTTCTTCAACCTTTATCGCACTTGCGACTTGGCATGCACGTCACTGTTGACAGTCATAACTTTGAAGTTGTAGATAATTTCGTCAATCTTAAAATCAGTATACGAGTAAACACCAACAATGTCAACTTGGAAATCCAACGCTGGATATCTCTTGAAAACAGGTGCTACTTCGGACTGAGTGGGCAATTGAGAAGTAAATCTTCTCTCGACGGACAATTCCCGTCCTGCTATATGGTGTAAAGGCTTGGACAATGACCACAACTGATGAGTCGACGTTGCGAGTTTTCGAGAGAAAGGTTCTGCGACAGATTTATGGTCCTTTGMGYGTTGGYCACGGCGAATATCGCRTTCGATGGAACGATGAGCAGTATGAGATATAMCACGACATTGACATAGTTCAAGTTGTACGAATGGACGAAATACCCACCCGGGGAAGCAGAGGAAGRGGAAGACCTCCACTCCTTTGGAAGAACCAGGTAGAGAAGGATCTGGCTGCAMTTGGAATCTCCAATTGGTGCGAGAAGGAAGAACGACTGGCGTRGTGTAGTAAAATCGGTTGTGACTTCTTTCAGTAATATTTTGTGAAAAGCAGGCTGCCTGAACCGTTAAACATTTTYCAGAAGAATTTTGCTCATTAAAAGAAAAGTATTGACATATTTTATGTAAGCCAGTAGTCATCCAGATAGCTAGAAATTGCGGTTATACAGCAAATCAATTTGGGAAATTTTATATTAAGTTAAATATAGGGCTAAAATGTATATTGCACTTTTCTAGACTTCACATACTTTCGCTTAACAAAGTTGCAACGCGCTAAAATAACTTCTATCAAAATAATTTCATTCCCAAATCCAAGTATAATTTTCACTGTAATTGCTGRCAGGTTCAATCAAACCGACATATTTTCATAGAAACACTAAAAGTTTGATTTTACTTTTAATGACATCGCCCACAATTGGCCAATCAGTGCCACCGCGGCCGCCGCGCTTCAAACAGCAAAATGCCAAATATTGTAAACACTTTCTGTAACACCAATTTCAAACTAAATCGCGTAAGCCACAACACTACACAAAAACAAAAACAAARCAGTTTAAAATCGGCCATAGTTGCAAAGTGTACTAATAATAAAATAACTCCGAATATACATATATACGGTTAATAGTAAAAAGTTGGCACAAAAGAAATACTTAAAAAAAAAARACCAAAAACAAACAAAATAGCAATAATAATAATAACAACAGTAATACTCGTAATCACGACTAAACGAGTTTTGCAGACATTTTTAAGCCGCGAGGAAGGTCACTTGCCACATTTCCCTACTCACCATTAGGCAGCGTGCATACGAAAACCACAGCACCATGCACACAGCTATAAAAAGAACAGTGATTTCTATGTTTTAACATGTATATTTGTATGTGTGCTGGTACCACTGCCAGTCGAAAMCTCCTTTGTAATCGCCACTGTCAGAAGTCCACCGCTCAAGCGTCTCTTCTGCTGCTTGCGAGCGACTGTTGGCCATTTCGCCGTCGCCATCGCCATCACCGTTAGCTGCCATCGTCTATTGCACTTTACTCCCGTAATACTTAAGTATTCTGTTGAATTTTTCACATTCGATTTACAGCATTACGTGTTGCGGTTCCGTTTCTGGCGCACTGTGTATGACTCAGAGTCTTCCGTTTACGGCTGCGACCATGTTCACCTCAATCGCTTTGCTATGGTCTTCTTTTTCCTGTTTTTACTCCTTTATACTACAAAAGTTCGCTGCCAAATGCCAATAACGTTCACTACTCGGGTAATGGTCAGAAACAAAAAAGTACCACGCTTTTTGATTGTACTTCTCGTAGCTAGTAGTTGTGGTAGTTGGTTGGAGCGAGCATGTTGCGCTTTGCCGTAAACGAGTATGGCGGTAGAAAAGTGCTCAGCTATGCGCGCCAAATGCTTGTAGAACTGTGGTTCTTTTGAAATTTTGCCAGCAGTGGTAAAGGGTGTTAGGGTAAGAGCAGCAACGTGGGTGCTTTTAAGGCAAAGATATATATTTCTAGCCTTAAATTAAGCTAAACTGACTAAAGCAGTAAAGGCTCCCCAAAAACATATTTTTGAATGAAGAAACTTAGAAATTTCACATTGYCGAGCCTTGTTCGCCACCTGTTGTATTATTTTCATTCCTAACTTGTATTTCCATAACCAAATTCCATAACAGGGAACGGGAACGCTATCAATTTCTACCTCTCTTTTGWGCCTTAAATTTATGTCAATTACTTACTGAAAGAATCTTGGTGAGCGCTAAGCAACTAACGGTACTCCACGGTCGTAAGATGCTTCTGGCTGGATGTCAATCAGAAGATATTTATCTCTTTAAAAATTATCAAATAATATGTTTTCAAAGTTATAGCTTGGAATTCGAAATATTGTTGAAACTAGAAGA